AAAAAAAAATAAATAATAAAAATAAGTTAAATTAATGAGGTACAGGAAATCTGGCTTTTTAGGCATGTAGATTTGAAAAAATAAAAGGCCAAATATGATCTTACAAGAAGTCCCACTTTCATATTTTTTCCATAATTATATTGGTTTAATTAAGGTAATTAAGCAATAAATTTCCTTACTTGTACTAGATTCTCAGAATCTATGCATATGACTTGCGTCACAGTGGTGAGAAAAATGTCTGGGGTTCTCTTTAATATTATAGTGAAATTTAAATATTAATTTAGAAATACATTTCAAAAACCAAAAATGTTTTCTTAAAGTTCTCCAATGTTATTATAAGCAGATTAGGTCATTTCTACAACAATGGTAACCAAATTAGAATAGAATAAAAAGAGAACAAAAGACTCAACATGGAAATTACCATTCTAGTATGAGTACTGGGCACAAGAATAATGTAATAAAATTTTGAAAATATGATAAATGTTGCAAGGAATGGTGAATAAGATATTTATTTATTTATAAAGATTTTATATATTTATTTATTTATTTGAGAAAGAGTGCAATTGGGGGGGTACAGACAGAAGGAGAGGGAGAGAATCTAAAGCAGACTTCACACTCAGTGCGGAGCCTGATGCAGGGCTCGATCTCATGACCTTGAGATCATGACCTGAGCTGAAACCAAGAATCCGGTGGTTAACTGACTGAGCCACCCAGGTGCTCCTGCATAAGATATTTTTAAATAAGATTCACTTTTAAAAAATCCTGTCATGTTAGGGTGTCCTTCGTATTCATATACACATGGAGATTCTTAATGTTATAGTTTTTAAAAAATCTCATTTTTGAGGCCACTATTCCCAGCACTCAAAAACATCTGTTTTCAATAAGGACATAGGTTTATTTTATTTTTTATTTTTCTATTATAAGGCTCTAGTACCTGCTCCACAGGGCTTTAGATACAATTTGATGCTATGTCATACAGGAAAATGAACAGGCAGGCAGGAGCAAATTCCTCACTAATGGTTTAGATCCCTACAACAGTAGTTCTTGGTTTTTCACATGCATCTGAATTGCCTTGCAGAACACAATGTATTTGCAAATTTTGGCTATATTTCCAGGGACTTTGGTTCAATTGTTCTGGGAGTGGTTCTCAGGAATCTACATTTTGACAAGTACAATAAACAAAAATGTTGACTTTGTGAGATCATTATTGATTTGTATACTGGCTGATGCAAAACTTTCACTTGTGTACCTCATGAGGAAGGTGTGTAGAGATGTCATTTAGCTAAAGGTTGAGTTTAGTGAACCATGTAGCATATTTATTTCAACACAGGATATTTTACGTGTAATGACCCTCATGAACTGACAAAAACAGAGAGAAAATATTGGAGATGTTAAACAGTCACTAATGTGGTGGGAATACATATAAAAGGAAAGGAGGCTTCCAGGGAAAGTGAAACATGAAAGACATGAGGGGGTACAAATACTTAAAAATTTATACAGGTGAGATTTTTGAAGCCTAGAACAGTTTTGTGTCTCAACCATTTTTTTTTCAGCTTTGATACATGAAAATGGACAGTTTGGGAAGAGAGGAGATTTTCTTTCCACAGGACTAGGCTAGGTAAGCAATCTCAGAGGGCCTAAAATGTTACTGTGGAAATTTAAGGTATTTTCAATCTACCTGTTCCCTGTCTCATGTCCAGTGAGATTAGTTTTAGGAGCATTTGGGGGTGTGACACTATCTGAAAATAATGAAATTATACAGGAATATTTCTTCTGATGTTCCTAAGGTATACAGTTCTTTTAGAGCAGTGGTTCTCAAAGTGTGGTCTTTGCATCGGTGGCATCACTATCACCTTCGAATGTGTTAGAAATGCATATTCTTAGCCCCAGTCTCCAGATCTATTTCATCAGAAATTCTGGGAAGTTCCCACCAATCTAAAACTTAACAAACCCTCTAAGTGTTGTTGTGAAGCATGCTGCAGTTTCTCCTTAATACGCCTTCATGAGTTAGGCTCAAGGAGGAGAAGATCCTTTCTTCATCTCTCTTACAAGTATAGGCTTTGTTGTTCATTTTTTCTTCCACAGCAATGTGATTAAAAAAAAAATACAATAGTATCTTGAATCACACAGATGTGGGTTTGAAACCCTGTCCTAAGCCAACAGGCAGCCTTGGGCAGGCTCCTTATTGTCTCTGAACTTTAAGCTTTTGCCTATTTATAATAAAGTTATTAATACCTACTTAATAATAATATTATTAGAATCAAATGGGAAAATGAACTGTAGGGGTTCATAAAGAGTTGCCCCAAGATTTGTACCTTTGGCATGCAGATTATTTAGAGCTAAAAATAATCAAGGCCCAAAGACTCAGGAAGAAATGTTGACCTTAACCCTAACTGCTTAAAAGAATTTAGATAGAGGACCTGCTCCAACAAGAGTCATCACCATAAATAATTACATTATAATATGAACCAGAGCTGGTAGATAAGGAGGACCCTTGCAAGCACTGTTTAATCAAAGTCCTCCCTATGTCCCCTTGTTTCTGGATGGCTCAGCAACATTTGCTTCACAAACATTTACTCTTCTTCATTTTCCTGTGAATTGCTTTCCTTTTCCTTTGAAGTCCCAGACCAGCAGCCTTTTCTCTTTAGTTCAGGATGATATATATACTTCGTTTTGCCTGTCTTTGGTATCTCATATCTCTGTGGATCCCCATATATATGAAATTAAATGTGATTTTTCTCCTATTAATCTATTTCTTGTCAATTCAATTCTTAAACCAGTTAGAAGAAGCTTGAAGGCTTACCAACAGAATAAACAGTACTTGGCACTTAGTAGGTTCTTCTCCATCACTTAATACTCATTTATTGAATTTAACTTAATATGAAGTTATTAAATTTAACTTCATGTTAGTTAAATTTAAGTTAATTTCACTTGTGCCAACATGGCATGAAAATATATGCAAGCATGATCTAACTTATTTCTAGCTCTAACCCTCTCAGGATTAGTACATTTAGTTCGTAACTAAAATGCATATAGATAAATAAGAAAAAAAAGGGGAGAGGGCTTGGGGCATTTGGTGCTAAGAGCTGACTTAAATATAAATATGGTAGTTTTTAAAGTCATAACAACAAATTTCCCTTCCAGTAGAAAATGCTTCAGATTTGAATCTTGGTCTGCTTGGCTCCAAACTACTCACTCCTTCAACTCTTCATGTGACCTTGAGCATGTAACCTAAATTTAATGAACTTCTGTTTCCTCATCTAGAAACAGGTTGCTTCTCCCTCTGCCCTTCACCCCGCTGGTGCTGCCTCTCTCACTCTCATCCTCTCTCAAATAAATAAATAAAACCTTAAAAAAAAGAGAATTCTCATTCTTGTTAAAAAAATTGTGTAGTAATCTCATAATATAATATGGAGCTGGTCATTAGATAAGGGGCTTTAAGAAAACTAGTTACCTCCCCTCCTTCTGCCATTGCATGGGGTAGAACTTCTCCTTTTGTTTTGAGGGAGGGGTGTGTGTGTGTGTGTGTGTGTGTGTGTGTGTGTGTGTGTGAAAGAGAGAGAGAGAATGTATGTCATACTTGTGTTTTTGAGGGAGCTGGTAAATTAACCCAATTGCATGTTTACACATCTCTGGTTATGTTTACACATTTATAATGGACTGCCTGAGATCCAAGCCCTGAAGTATCATGTTATGGAGCTCTAGCACTCTGTACTCAACTACAAGGAAAACATTCTATGCCTGGACTGTGACTGGAACTTTGCAAGTCAGTAGACATGCCTTTAACAAGCAATAAAATGAAGCTGTCAGCCATTACAAATGGACCAAGATAGAGGTCACATGACTAAATCACCTCTGGACCAGGCAGTCTCTGATGTATTTTACTCCAGTTTCTATCTATTAATCAGAGAAGTTGGGAGAGCAATAATTTAAATGCTGCAATAATCAATTCCATAACACATTAACAGAAGCTACAGTCAAACTTTCCCATACACTGACTGCATTGGAATCCTGACAGAAGCCCTAAGGCCATGGCTAATTTGCATTTAATTTACATAAAATTGTAAATCAAGAATACATGAAAACAGCCCTAATACTTGTTAGTGCTTAGATCTTTCCTGATAAATGGATTGAAACTGCTTGTGGTTTGACTTCGCTTGCAATAAAATTGTGCAGCTGATCAGCTTTGTTCTCATTCTGCAATTATGGGGAAAGGGACCCAATGAGAGCTATAGTTTGGGGCATGCGTATGCCACTTAGGGTTTTCATCCTATAAAACCATGACTCAGATGTGACCTTGGGAACCCCAATCTAGAAGCAGATTGTCCCCAATGACTTTGCAGATCCTGGTCACTCGATTTGCTCACAAATAACATACCATTAAATGGAGATACAATTTAAAAAGAAAGCTGGCAATGTATCATGGAACACTGCATCAAAAACCAATGATGTAATGTATGGTGATTAACATAACATAATACAATAAAATTTAAAAAAAAAGAAAAGAAAGCTGGTCAGCTGAGAGGATGTCAAGGCCTCTGGAAATTTTATTTTTTCCAAATAACACTTACTATCATAAAAACAGATAATTAGTAACATTCTTTATGCTGAAGATAAAAATCAAGCCTTCAGCAAAGCATCCAGTACCTAACAGCGGATAAAGTGCACCTCACATGGTTCTAAGCATTCTGTGTGTTCTTGTTACCCTGTTCCAACCTATTCAATAGATATGGGCTTTGCTATGTGCTTTTATATTCAGGGCTAAGAGACAATATTCCTATCAAGGGTACTGGCTCACAGTGGCACTTTTTATATTCTCCTTAGTCCTCTTATTTTAAGTCTGTCCTTTGTGAGAGAAAATAGACACTTAAATGCAATAATGCATTTGAAAGTTTTTTTTCCTTCAGAAAGCATTTTGCAAATATTTTGTACATCATGTTTATTTTCTGCTTCTCACCCCTCCCTTACCACCCATCTATCCCACCTTTTCTTACCTTGCACGATCAAGTAAACTTGGGAGGTCTTGGGCTCATGCTGTGTCTGAACTGAGCAAGTATAGGAACCCTCATCATAGACATCCACCTTCTGGATTCGGAGGCTGTATTCCAGAGAATGGCGTTTCTCCAGCTCAACCCGAGGGTCCAGAGACCACTTGTCATGCCCAGCAAAAATGATGCCAGAACGGTTCAACCAGGCCACCTTCGAGTTCTTATCTTCTACAACGCACCTGGCAGAGCAGAACAACAACATTAGAACCTCAGTCCTACCTGCATCCACATTCATTCTCCACATTGCCCTCAACAAGACCAATCAAGAACAATGATTATATGCAGGATGAATAATTGCCATGCCATTTTTTAGAGTCCTAAGTATTTTCACTATTTCTCCTAAGACTAATTACCATCCAATAGATGGATGTCATTATGTTAGACTCAATTTGGCAATAAACAATCAGTATGAAAAATGCAGGCAAATAAAATTAAATAGGTATTGACTTCCCACTGGATTATCTTCTTCTTGTCTAGGAAAAGGTCATTCACACAGAACTCCATCTGTTTGAGTACCTGAGAATTTGACAAGTGATAATGTGGCACATTTAATGAGTTTTGAATTGTATTAATTCTTTCACAAGTATTTCCTAAAGTCCTATGTGATGGTAGATACAAATCATGCCCCACTGCTATAGGAATTAGACCAGATTTCAGAGTTTGCTTCAGGTTCTTAGAAGGTTGGAATGCCTTCTCCCAGGAGTGACAAGTGTGTGAATAGATCCAAAGGTAAGTAGACAGGTGTTATGTCAAGGAAATCAGAGCCAGGATCATCTGGTTCCGGCTGCTGAGGGAAACATGTTGTCTGCTGGCAAGATGGCTTACAACCAGCATTTCTGGTGCATCAGAATGAATTCAATATTTTATGGGAGAGGAAGTAGCCAATTTCATAGTTCGTATTCCAAGAAAGATGAAGGAAAAAGGTTTATTTAAATGACTACTTATTTTAAAAACCTAAAAGGATCTCTTTCTGAAACTTGCAAGAAAGAGGCAAAGAATACGGATTAATGGGGAAGGGGTGGCTACTTTGTGGTGAATGCAGTTTTCTCCTTCAATTCCACTGAGAATCTGTAAATGGAAAAATCGAGCAAAAAACAAACAAACTTCTCTCTGTATCCCTTTGGTAAGATTTATGTCTGCCCCACAGGGAGATTGTCCCAGACCCTGTTCACAACTGTAGAGCCATCTGCTCAGCACTCTGGGGCATGAGGGATGGCGAGAAGAAGCCAGGAGCATGACAGCAAAACAATTAAAATACCATGTTCTGGATTCTCCAAACTAAGTCAAATCCACGTTTTCTCTCCAGTCAAAAAAGTCAGTCATAGGGATTCTGCACCCACGCATAGACAGGAAATTGATGCATTATCTACATGCGGTCTACAGTAGGTATACAGAGGCCAACTCAGTCTTAAAAGGAGAAAAGCTGAATCCTTTTAAAATACCTCACCTATGGTTCAAAAGACCTCCTAATCCCATTATTTTTAAGTGAACTGAATATTTTATTTAACATGAGAATTTTATTTAATTACTTGAGTTCCATGATCCACAGGTCTCTCTTCTCTACCTATTTATTTTCAAGAACATAAGCAGATGAAGTCATCGTTTAGTGTCTCTATTAGTCTGTATGCATTTCTCTGCCATGGAGATATTGTTGGGATTAATTATATGTTTGATAATTTAGAACTTCTCCATGAGAGAGTACAAAGCTAACTTCATGGATGCTTGCTGCTTCTTTCCAGACTTGGTTTGACTTTTCCTGTTTTATTATTTTGTGGCATTGTTTCTCTGTCCTTCATGATATTTGTGGCCCTTCTCAACTGAGAATCATTTAGGAGTTAATAGGCTGCTTGCTGCTTTCTAGAACACAAACGAAGTCACTGATGTAGATTTACTGTGTTTTTCTTTTCTACAGAGAAGGATGGAAATTTGCCTCCGCAAATGCATTTTAAATCTTCTATCATGTATCTCCTTGCACTTCTCTCCTCTGTGCAGTTCAACACAGCAGCAAACATATATGCTGCATCATAAAGATGTATTCTGAATAATGTCTAGCCAAAAATATGCCCCTAATATGTTCATTTTGAAAAAAAATACTATATAATCTATTTTACATAAATATGGCTTACAAATCAATTAAAGAGATATTTTGTTCTCTTCATTTAGGTACCTCCAAAAATTAATCTTATGGAAAATAGGTATTTAGTAAATGCGTGCTGTGAAACCGACAGTGTCACCCCTACAGAGAAGAGGACATATGGTTACCTATTTTCCACTTCCCCATCCCAAACCTTACAACATCAACTAATGAACTGGACAAATTTCCTTATCAGCACGAGGCAGAGTTTCTAAGTCAGGTGTTTAGGGTCCTTTGGACATTTTAGCAATTTTTGTACATGGAAAAGTTAAACTTATCACACAGATCATTATTCCAAATTATTCTCAGAGACTGTTCAGGTTTATCTTACCTAAAGACATAATTGACTATTTCAGCAAAATTGCCAGACCCACAAAAATGCATCTACTGAAACAATACATTATGTGGAAATTTTGCTATGACAATCTACATAACATCTTATTCTTACATTGTGTTTTGTCTTATATTTATTTTTAAAATTTATATTTTACTTATAAATAAATGAAAGGCATATTAGAATATATACACATACATATACACTCACACTTTTTACTAACTTAGTATAGTTAGCCAAGAAGCTAAGCAGAGCACAATGTGGTATTTTTCTTTTTTTAATTTTTACTTTAAGTAACCTCCGCACCCAACTGTGGAGCTTGAGCTCACAACCCTGAGATCAAGAGTCACATGCTCTACTGACTGAGCCAGCCAGGCACCCCAACAATGCAGTATTTTTAAAAGGAAAACCACTCCTCCAGATATTTAAGGGTTCTTTTTTCTGTAGTCAGTAGTTCCAAAGTAAATATATTGACTCTATAAACTAGAAAATATTCTTTCCACAACATGACTAAAACTTTCATACTGAAAAATGGCAAAAATAATACAAGTTCAGAACTAATTTAATTTTTTAAAATTTTGATATCTTGATTTAAGGTGGCAACTATTTCAGACCATAAGAAGAGCACATAAGTAAAAGATGGTAAGAGTCAAAATAATCTCACTTTGTAGAGCTTATGGTTGTTCAATGAAAATAACCAGTCACACAGGGTAGTCACAGAACACCTAGTTATTCAAAAATGAGGAAATGCTGATTTAATGCAGACCCAGGTTCCCAGAATGCACTGACTGACCAGCAAGCATCATGAGCTTTCATCTAGGAGGGAATTTGGCTTAATTGTGCAGTAGGCATTCCTGTAGAGTAAATGAGTATTCTCATGCCATGCTATCATACTGTAATAATGAATTACCCCCTATTCAGAATGCTGCTTCAATACCAGACAACCTAGTTCAGAACTGGATACCTAATGACTTCATTTTCAGTATCAGCTGTGGCTAAAGCTGGAAAAGTATGAAGAGATGTATTTTATTAATAAAATATTTTATTTTTTCTATTTAAATTCAATTTAGTTAACATATAGTATTATTAGTTTCAGGGGTAGAATTCAGTGATTCATTAGTTGCATATAACACCCTGTGGTCCTTACATCAAGTGCCCTCCTTAATGCCCATCACCCAGTTACCCCATCACCCTATTCACCTCCCCTCCAGCAACCCTCAGTTTGTTTCCTAGAGTTAAGTCTCTTATGGTTTGTCTCCCTCTCTGTTTTTACCTTATTTTATTTTTCCTTCTCTTACCCTATGTTCATCTGTTTTGTTCCTTAAATTCCACATATGAGTGCAATTATATGGTATTTTTCTTTCCCTAACTTATTTCACTTAACATTATACCCTCTAGTTCTATCCATGTCGTTACAAATGGCAAGATTTCATTCTTTTTGATGGCTGAGTGATATTCCAGTGTGTGTGTGTGGGGGGGCTATATATATGTGTGTGCTATATAACACATCTTTTTTAATCCAATCATCTGTCGATGGACATCTGGGCTCTTTCCATATTTTAGCTAATTGTGGACATTGCTGTTATGAACATTGGGATGCATGTGCCCCTTCAAATCACTATGTTTGTATCCTTTGGATAAATACCTAGTAGTTCAACTGCTGGGTTGCAGGGTAGCTCTATTTTTAACTTTTTGAGGATAATCCATACTGTTTTCCACAGTGGCTGCCCCAGTTTGCATTCCCACCAACAGTGTAAGAGGGTTAGCCCTTTCTCTGCATCCTCACCAACATTTGTTTCCTGAGTTGTTAATTTTAGCCATTCTGACCAGTATGAGATGGTGAGATGTATTTTAAAAAAAATCTGTAAGTGTTATGTGTTGTTTAGATTTAATAGAATGTTTTCTCCAGGAGCTCACGACATTGCAAATCATTCCTGGATTTAGAAAGGATGGGTGTTGGTGCCAAGAAGAGAGGACGAGAATGTCCTATTTCAGGTGGGATTTTCTGGCAGGCAGCTGAGAACATGGGGTTACTGTTCTCTAGGAAATCATCTATTATTAGTATACCATTCCTTTTCATGGATCTTTCTTATGACCTCATCATACTCTATATCGCATTCGCATTATCTGTATTTACCTTTCCTTATAAGCTTATTAATGACAGTGGCCCTCCTAGAATTTACCTGTGGAGCCCTCACAGGGCCTAGCAGCACAGACCCACCATGTACACAGTAGGCACTCACTGAGATGTAGAATAAATAAACTGAATTTAATTTAATACATTACTATTAGGTCAGACATCAAATATTTGTTAATTATCTAAGAGGTGCAGAATAAATGGGTAATTATTTTAACATTTCTTAAGAAATAATTAAAAGTATCTAATACAATGGGAAATTTTAAAAAAGAATTTTTGAGTGTGGTAGTAACATGAAAGTAAAGGAGACAAAAGTATGTACTCAGTGCTTTCATTATAAAGAAACATCATCTCTGGGAATTACATAATCTGTGTCACATGTGAAAAAGTGAAAGAAACATAAAACACTAGAAAAATGTTTAGTGGGTTGCCCACTCTAACCACGAACCCACAAATATCAGGTGGGTTACTTACCTTAACTGTGGGCTATGATTTTTTTTTAAATCAGCTTTAAAAAACTTACAGGAAAGGCAAACAAACAAATTTTTATCTTCCTTGTTCGGTATATCTGCAG